GTTACATTTGCCTACTTCCTTCTGTTGCTGCCACCATCGTGGCCACCATTCTGGCCCAAGCAGTTATCATCTCTGGTTGAGATTCTTGCAAGTGCCTTCTCACTGGTGCTCCCTACATTGATTCCAGTCCCCACACCAAACACTGACCACACTGTGGGCAGAGTTACCCTGCTGAAATGAAAATCTTATTACAGTGTATCCCCCTTCCTTTCCTCATTCTACTGATCCTTTCAAGGGTTTTACATTACTCTTGGAATAAACAGAAAACTCCCTAATATGCCTCATGGCTAGTGTGATCTGGCCCTATCTAATTCTCAGTCATTTTACTCCCAGCTGTTCCCTTCGCCTCAATACAAAACTCCCTCCTGCCACAGGGCCTTTGCTCATGCTGCTCCCTCTGCTTGGCATGTGTCTCCCCTGACCTTTCACCTAATTAATTCCTCCTCATCCTTCAGATTTCAGTGCAGCCATCTTTTCTTCTAGGAAGCTGTCCCTGACTTTTCTGACCAGGTCAAAACCTCCTCTTACATGCTACACTCTCCAGTAGGGGGTTGATTTGTGTCATTGATTTATGTCTTTCTCTCTTAGTAGTCTGTATACTTCATGAGGGCGGGAACTGTTGGTAACTCTACCCTGTTGGTTTCTAAGGGAATTAGCCTAACCCCAAAGAAAAGTGCCTATAATTCCCTTTAAAACAAGCATAATGTGGATAGAATAACTAAACAGCTCAGGGGGCTATAAGAGAAACAAAATCAAAAGATGCTCTGATATTTGTATCTGCAGTCTCTTACTGCTTAGGGAGTTAAAGGCTTCAAGATGAGTCAGCCTACTGCGGTGAACCTCGTGTCTATAGAAAGTGCCCCTGAGTGCCCAATCTGACCATTTCACCCTCAAGGGGTCTGTCTGTTTCAGCGCCTAGTATTTGGGACAGCTTTGAACAGTTCTTTGGTTCCATGGATAGATGATTTCACCTCCCCATGAGATGGCCAGTTCCTTGAGGAACATAACCTTAGACTTCCCAGCAATGCCACGGCCACTACTAGCTCAGAGGTGCTCAATAAAAATCTGCTCATCCAACATTCACTCCATGTTAGCACCTTAAGGGAGGGGTTCTCATTAGCTTCTCACTGTATCCCCAGCAACTAGAATGGAGCCTGAAACACAGTGGGTTCCTAGAGTGTCTTTGGTGAATGCATGAAGTCTTGAATGCCCACCATGGAGAAGACTCTGGTTGCTAGAAATTCAATTGTAAGAAGAGTTGATTTCCCCATGTTATTTCTATTGTTAACCTCATTTCGAGTTATTCTAACTTTAGCCCATTTGAACTTCAGTTTTAATTACTTTTCTACTCAATACAGCTCAATGTGCATGGCCCCAAAGCATGGTCGACCCTTTTGACACAGGAGGGACTGCTTTTAGAGCAAGAGAAGTTTTTCACTCCTCCTCCCTCCATTCAGTGAGTCTGGATTATTTCTGGTCTCCATACCTAACCCATTTGAGAAGCATGTTTTGATGCAGAGTGAGAACCTGAAGTCATTCTGGGAACTGCTTAATTACATAAACTGAAATCAAAAGAAAGCTGGCAAACCCAGCAGCTACTCATTCATTAATCCCCTCTTGGCATGGGTAGAAAACACAACAAAACAAAAAACCCAACTTCCTGGTAAAGTAAGCAAATACGTTTTCTGAGGTAATCAAAGATTTTAAAAGCCTTATTCTATCTCCTCCTCCCTTAGTCACACCTGAATGTCTAAAAAGTTATGGTCTTGTGATAGTAAGTAAACTAATAAAATTAGGAAAGATTATATGTCATGGCCATTTAGGGTAAGAATAGGTAATAACGACCTGCAAGCTAGAAGGGCCACACCATGTGTTTGAAATTCCCTTTGGGCTCCATTTTCCCAGAGTGCTAACCTTTCCTAACTTAGAAGGGAAAATCTGGCCCGCCCTGTTCATCTTTCAAGGTGTGATGGATAGCCAGAGGCTTCCTCTCAGCAGCACTGCATGTCCTGCCAACTGGATTTGTTTGGACACACATTCATCATAGTTTGTTAGCTGTTTACATGTGCAAAGATTCTATCGCTTTTAAATCAATTTCACATGACTGCCCAACAAAAGACTGGACTTGGAACAGTCTGCCTTTGATGCACTAGTGACAGGATGAATGATTTCTTTAATGTACCACATCTAAGGGAATCAGGGAGCCTGACCTCACACTTGTAGCATCTCCTTTTCCTCTCCATGTCTCCATCTTATAACCTATCAACTCAACAGGTCTGTCCTGGGTGCCCAGACCTAGGGTAGGTGACTGGGGGGTGTAGAAGATGATATAAGCCAGGGGCTTGGTTTCTAGGCACCAGGAATTGAACACAGTAAATCATACAAAGCAACATAAAATGCTCTGTCATTATGCGCTAAACTGTCTTGTATCAAATCAGACGTCAAACCTACGTATCTGCACCCTTAGCTTCTTTGGCCCTTAGAGAAGAAATGTCTATCATCCAGGCCTTAGCACTTACAGAAGATCATTATAAGAAAAGGCCATAAGAAAACTCTTTGTGTATTTTATTTTCCACAATACAACTGGTATTGATGGAAATGGCTATTGCCTTGGGATTTGGTTGAGACAAATCTGAATTATGCGAAAGACCACAATTAAGGTCTTGAACTGCAGAAGGTGGGAGGAGTAGAGGGCCTGGCGAGTTAGAAGCACATACATGAAGGGCTGCTGCTGCTAAGTCGCTCAGTCGTGTCCGACTCTGTGCAGCCCACAGATGGCAGCCCACCAGGCTCCCCTGTCCCTGGGATTCTCCAGGCAAGAACACTGGAGTGGGTTGCCATTGCCTTTTCCGCACATGAAGGGCAGAGGCAAGCAAAAGTGACCACTGCCTGTGGGGATGAGGAGGGTAGGAATGCGGCAGTGAAAAAACTTGGATGTGGGTATGAAGCAGAGAGACTGGGTGGTGGCACAGGAAGAAAGATGGTTCTGAAAACACAGGTGAGAAATAAAGAACCTAGAAACCTTCTGAGTTATAAAATGGCATAATTAAAGCTGATTTAAAAACTGTTCTAAAAGTAGAGTTCATGATGTATTGATGGGAGATTGCTTGAAGTTATTATCCCTTCTCCTCTCTATTTCCACTGTGTAAACTGTTTTATTATCTTTGACAAAGAACAGCAAGCAACCGTTCTTCTTCTCTATTATACTTCTTGGGTCAAAAGAAAGGAAAGATCCAACCACTTTGGGAAACTTAACTATCAAACTAAACTATTAATCAATTTTATTTCCTCATCAAGAAAGCACAGCCATCATCACAATAAACTAAAAACAGACACTCATGAGTGGGATTCTCCAGCTCTCAGGCAGACATACCATATGTAGACTACCGGCAGAGCCTTGTTTAATTGGTGTCATAGACTTTCCACTGAGTTAGGAGAAAGAGAGGTATGGAGAATAAAAAGAAAGGATCTTTCCTTTCACTGAAGACTGACCTGCCAACTAACAGAGAATGAAAGTCTTATCTGAATAATAATTATGATTGATTATGTAAATTCTTATGCAACAATAATTATTATCACCTGAAACATGTTGTTTAAAAAACTAATTTTCACACATTCTCAGTCCTCCTCAGCTTTCTCCCCTTTCACCTTCCATTGTGCAAGGCCTTACTCTAGAATAACAACCCTGTTGTAGTCTTTCCCCAAATTTAGATTTATATCAACCAAATTCCTACAGCCATGGTCAATTCCATCAATGTCAAGAGTGGTACAGAAAATACAGAATGAGTTTTCACATTGCTATTTCTTATAACAATCTTCTATAGGCCACAGAGGGGTAAAGTCCACCCTTCTTTGGATAAAAATGGAGAAGTATTTTCTTGGGGGAAGGTATTAACCTAATCAGAATTAGCCAAAGAGCAAAAAGTCCACACAAAAGCCTGCTAGCTGAGAAGGTATAAATTTCATTCATGTCCATCTGATACTTGTTTCCAACTGCTTTAAACTCTACTTATTTGAAGTACATAGGACACACAAAGTTTAAAGTGACCTAAAAGCTATACTAAACAGACTCATTCGATTAAGCTCAAAATAAACATTTCCTGCCTCTGATTAGAGGGATTATTACACTTAGGCCAGGGAACAACTTCAAGTTACTGCCATCCTGCCCCAGGCACTCTCATCTGTGTGTGAAAGCCAGGAAAAGGGGAGGGCTTTGGGATCAGTCAGAGAATACTTGCCTTTCATAGGATCGTCAACATCTTAGGAAAAATGAAGTTTCTATCACATGATGTGACAGGACATACAGGACAGCCCCCAAGTAGGCTACATCTCAATGATGATGACACTAGAGTGACCTTGTGCTATGAATAAGAGCAACATCTGAAGGTAAGTAGGAATAATGACTTGCTGTTAACTTTTTCTCTTTGAAAATGACAGAGTCAGAGGGGTTTAGATGGGGAATGTGGCAATGAAATGTACAATGGTGTGGTTTTCCTGAGGCTCTTCCTTTTGCTCCCTTGCATCACCAGAGTGTCAGCATCACCTCATAGCACCAGGCTTTCTCCTGGTTCTTCACCCACGAACTGCTTTCTCCATGAAGTGCTGCTCCTGGGGTGTGGCTTCTGGCTATCATCCTCTGTCACTGGTTGTTGACCTGGACTCCAGGAAAGCAGCAAAGCATCAGGAAACTCTCCCCTGACTCATTTGCCCAACTTAGCAGTCTGGTCATCTTGCAGAGATTTCATGAGTCCCTGCTACCCACCTAGAATCTGGTCTACCCATTCTGGGCAGGCCAGGTCTCTCTTTAATGATACCAAGAGTCAGTTTAAAAAGAAAGAAAACACTGGTTGCTCACTGGAGTCCATTTTCACCACTGTCACCAGGAAAGATCACCTGGAGAAGGGAAAGGCTACCCACTCCAGTATTCTGGCCTGGAGAATTCCATGGACTGTACAGTCCATGAGGTCACAAAGAGTCAGACACGACTGAGCGACTTTCACTTTGAGGAAGCACTTTAGAGAACCCCCATCTTCTGCCTGGGTCCTGCTGCCTTGTTCTGTAGCAAGTTCCTTCCAACCTGAGGATGTCAGCCTTGGGTGGATCATCACTTTGCAGGGTTGTTAACAGAAACCTTCTTTGTTCATCGAGGGGACAGGTCAAGTGAGCTGGCTGAGCCACAGTATCCTGTGAGAGCATTTTAAAGCATACAGATTTCCAGGACCCTTGATCAGAGTTTCTAATTCTGGCTGGGCCCTGGGAATGTTCACTTCATTTTAAATTCCCCAGGTAACTCCTAATGCTCAGAGAGGTTCGGGAACCACTGGATTGGACAACTGCCCTGGCTTGTGACATCAAGATTAGGTGATTTCACTGCATTTGGTTCTGCACCTTTTTGTGAGAATTTTATGTACTGGTAAGTCCAACCAGAGTATAAATTCTTGGACCAGTGGCTTCTAGTCTTCCTCCAGCCCAGGACTCTGGCAGACAAGGTACTCTTAGGAGAACCATGGCTTTCTACAACAGGAGGAATCTTCTGGAATGACTGGGGTCATATCTCCTGCATCTGGCAATGTTCTTACAATGCTTCACACCATGCTGGGTTCATCCACCCACTCCACTAATGCCATAATAAAAGCACTTACTATATAGCTGATACCACGCTATACCATGATTTTGTAACTACGGGACCATATAAAATCAAATCAAGGGCCTGAAATTCCCACCCACAGTTAAAGAGCTGTGGTTTCACCACATAATTGTATTTCTTGTCTTTTCCTTTTTATCGGTCCCACTTGGCTTGACTTTCGGTCCTATAGACACCTTGTTGGATTCATATGCATGGCTGCCCTGAACCAAATAAACCATGTCACAATGGCAAGGAAGCTCTGCTGACATCTCCACTGTGCTAAATCTCCTTTCATGTTCTGACTCCTTTAATAAAGCCGAAATTAAAATGTGCTAAGCTGGGGAAAATTGGCAACTTGGAAATAATACACTAACATATACATACAACTCAGTCCTGTGGATTCTGAACACTTGGTCACATTGTTTTAAATATTAAGTGGCAAGGCTGGTGGCTGTAGGCAGGCTGGAGAGGATTTCCATACCACTTCACTAATACTTTCATTAGATGACAGAGCGTAAATAAAGGTTTTTGATTGTTAAATTCTTTGATCTCCGTACTTCCACCCAGGTTTACTCTGAACCCCAGGCAGTGTGGTGAAATAAACTTGTAAGTATTTGGTGGAATAGCACAGGGGCCTCTCCAAGGAACTGTTTAACCTCAGCTATGCTATTGTGAGAAGGTGTGGGATTCCGGCTAGTGTTGTTTTTTTAAAAAATCTATGAGCAGACTGCAATCAACACGATGCAGTCTGCGTTCAACAGGCGTAGGTGCTTGTAGAAGCAGAACAAAAACAGCCTGTGTTTAATCTGTTCACAGACCTTTTGTTCTTAATGACCTGAAACGGTGGTGAAATAGACAAAGCAAGTGAGAGTTTCAGGACTGAGTCATAGCTCTTATACGAACCAAGGGCTGACAACTCAGAGAGGAGGCTGGTTTCTCTAACTGTAGAAATTCATGATCTAAGTGATTTGTTAAATGACACAAATGAGAAAAAATGACATCGAGAAGCCCACTGAAAGGTTTATAGCTTGGCCGCAGTCGGTCCCCATCTGCAGAGCTCTGTCCGTGGGTGTTTCTGAGTGCTCTGACAGCCTTCTCCACCCACATGCTCACCTGTGTGGTGCAGTGGTCCAAACTCAGCCTCTGGACCCAGACTGCTTGTGTTCAAATCCTAGCTCCTCTACTCACTGGCTGTATGAACTTGGACAATCAGGAGTGTTGGTTTCCCCATCTGTAAAACCAAGATTCGATAGCAGCTACTTCTTGGAAAATTAGAATAGATTATCCTTAGCGTGGGTTCTTGGCCCCCAAAAACTGCTCAGGAAAACATTAGTTTCCATTTTTCATTCATAAGACTTCATTTGGTGGCTGTATATGGCTTGGTGATGAATGTTATTTCAAATCAGTCCATTCATCTGTAGGTATAGAAGGCTTTCAAAAAGGCTACAATCTAGTTGGAAGAATGAGAAACTCTAATGAAATAAGGGTAGCACCACAGGAGGGTATTTTATTATTTGTGGATTTGTGATGAAGAAAACAGTGAAGGAAGTCTCCATGGAAGAACTGGGACTTAAAAGGGGAAGGGAATCAAACCAAGCAGAGTTTGGGTTTTCCAGGTGCAGGAGAACCATGAAGGCACAGAGATGGGATGCGTTTGATAGACTTAAGGAACGCTGAGGAAGTCTAGCTGAAGCATCAAAGCTATCTTGGCCTTTTTGTTTTTCTTAGAAAACTACAATCTAAGGTTAATGTGAAGACACAATGAACAAGTGGGAAGTGACAAGGGCTATAATGAGTACCTACTATATATGAAGCTACTTTTCCACTGATGCAGCAGTCTTGAAAGCTGGTGTTATTATATTTATTTTCCACAAAGATACAGAGGCTCAGAGGAGTCATTTGACTTGCCTGAGGCCACAGAGCTGGTAAGTAGTACAGCTAGAATTTGAACCTGGATCTGTGTGTCCCAAAGCTTGGGCTCTTTCTGTTATACCAGGAGTAACCCTCAGCATCATTCATTAAATCTAACAGTAGAGCTCCCATTTTATATATCAAAAATATAGGGCTGGGGTTAGAGACTCTGAGTTAAGGTCTGCACCTTAAGCCTCTGCTCATTGTGTGTCTACAGAGGTGGTCTTGAATCTCTAGGACACAAACTGTTGATTTTGAAGGAGCATGACAGGGATCTGTTCCTCTCTCTGGCACCCTAGACATCTTTAGAGTCAACATGAAATCTAAGTGAATACAGGATCCAGCCTTCTATGCAATGGTCTGCTCTCTGACAAACTCCACCATCTGACAAACATCACCACAAACTCCACCTGTGAAACTGCAGGGGGAAAAATGGAACCTGAGTGGGCAAGGGAAAACACTGATGCCAAGACCCACAGTATCCTTGATAATAGAAGCTAACATCACCCTCAAGTCCATGCGCCAAGGGCTACTCTATGACACTGCTGGCAAAATTCAGGTTAGGATTTTAATCTTAAGAAAACTCCATTCTTCCTAGCTTATTGGAGTAGTCAGTCAGTTCAGTCACTCAGTAGTGTCTGGCTCTTTGTGACCCCATGGACCACAGCATGCCAGGCTTCCCTGTCCATCACTAACTCCCAGAGCTTACTCAAACTCATGTCCATAGAGTTGGTGACACCATCCAACCATCTCATTCTCTGTTGTCCCCTTTTTCTCCCGCCTTCAATCTTTCCCAGCGTTAGGGTCTTTTCCAAGGAGTCAGTTTTTCGCATCAGGTGGACAAAGTATTGGGGTTTCAACTTCAGCATCAGTCCTTCCAATGGATATTCAGGATTGATTTCCTTTAGGATGGACTGGTTGGATCTCCTTGCAGTCCAGAGGACTCTCAAGAGTCTTCTCAGGGTGGGAAATAAAGATAAAAGAGACTGATAGAATTGATAAAAAAAAATTGCCAGTCTGGGGTTATTTAAAGTGGGAACAACGGTCCTAACTTCTTACAGCCCTGTAGGTATTATTATATCAAAGTCACCAAGTAAAACTAACATTCAAAACTCTACCAACACTTAAAAATATGTGCTGATTTTATTATTATATAGTATTCCTACTAGTATTAACGATAATATAATGATAAAGTATGGAAAAAATTTTCTATCAAAAAGGTTTACTGATTTACAAGAGCTCATATTATCTTTGTAACATGGAAATCTGAATTTTCTGATAAATGCCAGATAAACAACCTGATTCAAAATAGTGGGAACTAATTTTTAAATGGTCAGAAATATATGAATGAGTATTATGTTTTAAACTATAAAGCACCATATAAATTTGCTATTGTTGCTGATTCATATAGTTCTTGCAAAGCACACACTTTAAAAAATCCCAACTTATATAAAATACAATAGATGCATATCATACCATTACATAGACAAGATCTAGACTCAGCCTTCAGAAACCACTCCAAAGAACAGTTACATGACTGTACCAGTTATGTGACTGGGATTTGGAGAGATTTCATCTTGGTAAGCAGTAGGTAAGGGAGGATTATAAAGGACGATGTCTTCCATGTAAAAGACAGTATCCCAAGGCACTAACTTGTTTCCCCACTGAAAAACATGCTACTTCTCCATTCAAGAGCCTTCAATCATTTGGAACAAAACTCAAATCGCCAGTAGTCGTGCTGTTCAAACTTTAGTATGCACAAGAGTCAACTGGACACTTAAAAAAAAAAGAAAAACAAAACCCAGATTCCTGAACCACACACCCAAAAATACTGAGTCTGTAGGTCTAGGTTGGGACATGAGATTTCTGCATTTCTAACAAGTTCCCAGGAGATGCAGTGCTGCTAGTCTAGGAATCACACTCGGACTGATCTCACTTTGATTAATTCAGGTTAGAACTGCCCGTAGTCTGGTGGTGATCTAAATTTCAGCCTATCTCACTACTCCCTTGGTGTCCCTGATGGCTTAGTGATTAAAGAATCTGCCTGCAAAGCAGGAGACACAGGAGATGTGGGTTTGATCCCTGGGTCAGGAAGATCTCCTGGAGGAGGAAATGGCAACCCATTCCAGTATACTTGCGTGAAAAATGCCATGGATGAAGAAGCCTGGCAGCTACAGTTCATGAGGCTGCAAGAGTCACACACAGCTAAGCACGTGCATAGCGCTACTTCCTACTTGAGCTGATTTTTTTTCATATGGCAACCACTCATTTTCCCTGTTCACTTCTGAACAATCCTGGCAACTCTGCTCCAAGTTCCTCCTCTCCACCTGTCAAATACTTTCTATTCTCTTCTTCCTTGGTGATGCCTTTTCCAGTGAAGACAGTATTTAGAAAACTCTTCCTCCTGTGCATTCATGGCAGTACTTAAACCACCTATGTGATGACTAATCATACCCTGTACATTATAACCTTATACCATAGATTTGCATTATTAAGGCAGAGAGGGTTATTTAACTCATTTTTTTTAAATCCTACTTCTTCAGCTGGGCTTTCTCAGTCCTTGAGAGCAGGAATTATACTTTGCATATAATAGTCATTTGATTAATAATGACTGGTTAGACTTACCAATCAATGTAGTTAATTTTGGTTCTACTTTGGTAAGATTGTCCAAATTACTAAAATGGGTCAGTACCATTACTCTAGACAAGCCAATTCAAAACCATTTCATAGTCTTGCTTCTCAGAGTGGCCCCTGAGGTCTTTTCTTAAATCCTTTATTGGACCTAACAGCAGGCATGCTCAGGAGTTAGATGGTTGATTAATTAAGTGGCTCACCCCAATGGAATATTTCTCTCCATCCTGGATCCAAGCCAGCCTAGGTTTATACCCATTCATGACCCTGCTTTTAAGAATTCCTCAGGGGAAATCCACCCTCAATGATGTAAAGTACAAGCAAACCACCAGAGTCTCACATGGACAACAAAAATCTTTTTTCAATTGCCTTCTGACTAATTCCTTACTTAGATAAATAATCAGTGAGCTGGTGAAGAAACCCTGCTTTCAACCACAGAATTATGTGAAAATGTGCATTCTCTTGCAATACTGACTTATAAACAATTCAATGCCAGGAAGCTCTAAACAAATGCTTGGAAAAGGGGTATATTTCCAGATTCGCATGACTTTTACTGTTCCTCTCTGTTGCATCAGATTCTTGGTTTACCAAGTGGGAGGAGAGCTAAGGAACTGTTTTAAAGTGAACTGCCTCCATAAGGATGGGCAATCCAGGCCCTGCTAAACTAACTGGAAGTTTGGTACATTCATTTCATAAAACCAACTAATCTCTGGCAGATAATTTTTTTAGCACTTACTAGACGCAAGACAGCCCAACACATAAATTGTTCCAAACTCCAAGATGTTGTCTACCCTTGAAATTAAACATGAGATTCCATTTTGTACCACGTAGGCTGGGTCGACATCTGAGTACCTGAACATGTAGGCAAAGTGAGAAAGACTTTAAAACAGCAGAGTTTGCTCCCTTGGGCTGAGAGATACCCTCTCACCTCTGCCTCCCAGGCATGGCTGAAACTGTTTCTCAGGCTCCAAATCACTACTTTAATACCATTCTTTTCTCGTGAAACCACTGCACCAAAATATTTTGATGGACAAGGACTCACTATCTAGTACATGTCATCAGTTTGGCATTTGCTCAAATATGAGACTGTGATAGTTTGAACAGGAACAAACTGGAAATATATTTTTATAAAGAAATACATTGCTTAGCCAATTCATAGCCAAGTCAAGTGTTCAAATGTACAAACTTTTCTGATTAATTTAAGAGCACATTTTTAAGCACATTGATAGTACCCATCCATTCGGGAAGTGTGCTGATTACAATTAACCTTATTACTTTATCATGGAAGGTTCTGAGGAAACTCTGCCTGGCAACCATCTGTGAGCAGTTCTAACTCCTGTCATCGTTTTGAACACATTCCATATATTTCAGATTTACTACCAATTTTAATTGCCCACATTAGCTTTCTTTTGCTGTGTATCTGTGTGGATAATAGAAAATGCTGCCAACTTGGTTAAAACAGAAGCACTGACAAAATATTCATTAGCAAGAGCTCTCCACCAACCCATGGGCTTCTCTGGTAGCTCAGCTGATAAAGAATCCACCTGCAATGCAGGAGACCCCGGTTTGATTCCTGGGTCAGGAAGATCTGCTGGAGAAGGAACGGGCTATCCACTCCAGTATTCTTGGGCTTCCCTTGTGGCTCAGCTGGTTAAGAATTCACTTGCAATGCGGGAGACCTGGGTTTGATCCCTGGGTTGGGAAGATCCCCTGGGGAAAGGAAAGGCTCCCCACTCCAGTATTCTGGCCTGGAGAACTCCATGGACTGTATAGAGTCTGACTGTCCAACTGCAAAGAAGCAAACATGACTGAACAAATTTCACTTTCACTCCACCAACCCACAAGCAGACCTCACCACAGGACTAGCTCTCCTTTTCTCTGTGAAGCCTTCAACCAAGTTCCCATATACCTACCACCCAGGGTCAACCAATGACAACACTTGCCTGTAGCCTAACAGCACAGTGAGAAACTTCTGCCCTGTTCTGATCATCCAAATGGAAAGTTTACGAGAGATGACAGACCGGTTCACAAACTATGCCCTGAGCACTAGACATAACTTATTTTCACAATTTATTTGAACAAATTGTACTGGGGATCATAGAGTTGTTAAATGAATATAAGCCTAGGATTTTCAGTTGGAATAGATGGTTCCCTCTCTTCTTTCCCAGAGACCTCAAAATCAAGTTACAACCTGCAGACTTGGCCACTTCAACCTCGTCTTATCTGTTTTCATTCATAAATTTGCGGGAAAAGAAAGAAAGGGCAGGAAAGCAAGACCTAAATAAAGGTAGGTGACTCTTATTACTTTAACATTTCTTTGGGGCTGACTTAAGCCAAGCCAGCATTCAGATAGAATCAGGGGAAACAGCAAGACATAGGAAAGGAAGTTTATGAATGCTTCCCCTTCAACTCAATATGGCACTGGACTATTTCTTCTCCCTGAAGACCCCTGAAGCCCCTTACCACTTCCATGTTCTTCCTCTAGATCACAGTCTGTTACTGCTATATTCTCTTAAGGGAAATGTCAAGGTTAAAATGGCTGAGCTAGCGCCATCTAGCCCTTCGGAATGTCTGTGAAACAGTAATCTCTGGAGGGTTGCTACTAGATCTTTGCAAATGGATTCCGGGATGGAGGCGGGGAGGTGGGGGGGCATGCAACACAGTCTCAGAAAAAAGAGTTAAGACAAATTAAGCAGCAGCACTCCATCAGCCCCATGTGCATAAGGCAAGAGCGCATCAGCTTCCCAGGAGACAATACCATCAGCTAAAGCGTGAATCAACTGGTCTGTTCTATTTTCTAAAGTTGCGCAAATATTTTCTTGGAATCAGCCCCATGACTCAAAGCACCTGTGATCATTTATGGCTTGGAAATATAATGCAAATATTTCAGGATAATTTTCCAGTTGGAAAATATTTAAATTTTCCTTTTCGTATGTGTTTCTAACCTCTAGTGACATCAGATCTTAATCATTAAGATAAAGCCAACGCGTGTCAGAAGTAGCTAATTATAAAATAAGAAGGTTAAAAAGGGTTCTTCTAACATCTGAACAGTAATTTCTTCAGATTACAACAGATCTTATCTGAACTATGGTCCTTACACACAAATAAGAGCTGGCTATCCAGATGGGAATAATAACAAATTATTCACCAAAAAACTGCTGTGCTCTTTTTTTTTTTTGGATTGTGATACTTAACTGGACAGACAGTAAGATAGAAGGACTGTTGATGGAATCAGAGAAGTCTGTGCGTGATATGACGTCTACTTTTGCTTGTTGGGAAAGAGACTATTTCAACAGTATGTGAGAAACTATGACAAACCCCAAACACTGCTTCTTATTGAGATTCTTGGAGGAGTTTAGTTCCCCCATAGACACATTCTTTGCTCTGTGGATACTAGATAAACAGCATTCTTTGAAGGCACAGGTCTTAAACAGGTGCTTCCCGCCTTCCTTTTCCCCCTCTTAATAGTAGGATTTTAGGTTTAAATAAATGATAAATTATATCAACCTCCCACTCCTTTACCCATCTGAATACAAGACACTTGGAGAACTATTATCAGACCCTCTAAGATCCTAGCTCTGAAGTATGGAAGAAGTAAAAATATTTTGAAGGGTCAAGAACACGCAAGGGTAAAAATCAGTTAAGAGCATGACCTTACAAGTTAGAAAGTCAACACTTTCTCCTCCACACTCTGGTTAAAAATGAAGAATGACATCTGCATGCTGTCAGCAACAACCCTCTTCCCCATCTCTACCCCTCACAGTTCCCCTCCCACCGTTTTTATAATACTAAGGAGCCCAAAGAGAGAACCCAAGAGAATTAAAAAAAAAAAAAATTATGCCCCTTGTAGTAGTTTATGTGCTACCAGGTTTTGACCCATGAGGCATTTTCCAGTTCCCAGTTTGTCACCCCAATCAGAATATAATCAGCCTTAGAAATGTTTCCTTGAACCTTCCTAGTTCTTCTTTCTATCTAATTGCTGCAGGTTGCTGCTGATCATTTAAATCCCTTAGGAAACTGGTTAAGCACTTGTTGCCAAGACTATCCTTTCCATTATCATTTAATACCATGTTTTAAAGAAACCATCAGTGTCAGGAAATCTAATTAACTTGGGTTACCTATCAGTCATAATTAAGAAACACATCATTAACTGAAATTCATGTGAACTTCATTTATACGATTTAGACGATTCATTTATACATTTAGATGATTTGGGGATATCAGAGGAATAACACTGTATCTTAAAGGCAGTTAGCTATTCTTACATACATAAAAATTAACAAGTTTGAGGACTAAAACCCCATTCCAGTCAACAACTCTTGGGGTTCAGGGAGGAACTAGGATTCTGTGAAGTCACCAGGAATGAATCTTTCACCCTGTTTCTGAGTTACTGGATAATTTGTTTCTTAAATGAGTTTGATAGGAAAATGCCACTCCAATTTAGAAGTCACTAGTAAGGCTTATTACAGAACAAAGAATGGAGATTGTTACTGCTTTGTCTGACAAAACTGTGCAAATCCTTTCCTGCCCCTTTCAAGACAGTCACAGTGGCAGAATCCTGTGTCCCGAGAGCATGCTTGACTTCCATCTTCAAATGCAAGGGAAAACAAACAAGCTTTAGCTGCTTCACAGAGCCTCAAATAGCTCTTTTCGAAGATGGGGCTTCATCTCTCATCAGGTGGGTTTTTGAAGGCCCAGACCACAGAAACTGTCTGGGAGTCTGTGCTCAAAAGTCCAGAACAATTTAGAAATTATTTCAGCTGTTCTCAATTTAGAAGTAAAACAAAAACACCAAGTAGGAACAAACAAACACATGCTTCTATGTATCTATTTTTAAAAGAAAAGCACAGCTCTGCCCCTGACTTTCTGTCCATTCTTTACGGCCTAACTTCAGGATCTTGCTCATAAAAAAAGTACATGGCAATTCCAAAGTCTCTTATTCTGGAATATCAGAAATTCTCTCATTCAGCTAAGCTGAAAGCATTTTATGTCTTCAGTCTGCTCTCTCTGGCCCTGCGTCCATCAAACATAATAACCAGTTGCTATTTCATCAGTTTCCCCTGGTTCAGTATTTACGTCTCAGCTCTACTTTTCTGACTATGATCACCCTCTAGTGGCAAAAGCAGTTAACTCCAAGCTACTCAGCAACTGGATCATGGAGGGCCGGGGGGAGAGAAAAAGAGGAGTTGTACCTCTCTGCTTTCTGATTTCCAAGAAAACATCAGTTAAATGAGACACATGTTTGAAGGATTGTATGCCATTGTTTTAAATGTAGGAAAACTTTCATTAATAAACCGAATTCTTATTCTTCAACTCCTAGCTAAAAGAATATGAGTGTTAAAGTGAGGGAAGAGGCAGTCAATCCAAAATAAAGAAAACTGAAATGTTATTACAATACAGAGAACATCAGCCCTCATTCTGTCCAATTTTCCTATTTACCTCTTATCCCTCATAGTTTGTGTCCAGTCCCTACTTCCCAGGGAGAGTTTGAGAGTCACAGCAAGACTTTTTTGGCTTGCTGGGCTTCTTGCAGCTTCCTAAGGGAAATACTTTGCTTGAGGAGGCTGACCAGATCAGGCAAGACACATTTGATGAGGGAGCACCGACAGGGATGGCCTGTCACCACAACACATCAACTAGTGGCATACTGGGCCAGATTCTGTTCCTGAAATTCTAAAATGCTGCCTCTTGCTGAGGGCAGGAGCATGTCTATCTCACTCACGTCCATGTCACCAGCACCTGACACAGTGCTTTATACCTAGCAGAAGAGTGAGAAATATTTTGTTCATGCATGAATGAGAGGAATGAGAGGAAGATACTGAAAAAGTGCTCGAGAAAGTCAGTGCGATGCTAATATCCACGAAACTCTGACTTCCAGTCCCAGTGTCCCCCAACAACTAAAAGAGAGGATTTAAAACTCCCCTCCAGGAATTTTAGATGCCAAGGAGGTTCACTAGGGGCCCAGGCAGCCAAGACCCATGGTGCCCTTGAATAAAAGGGGCTTCCCCTTGTGTAGTTTTAGAGAGTCCTCTGCTCTGCAGGTTTTATTCCCTTATTATAAACAGCCTGAAACCATAGCTCCAGGACACGGACCTCAGCAGAACAATGTACCAGACAGAACTGGTCATCTGAACCAGGGAATAATGCTAAAACACTTATAGAAAAAATTAGAACAAATAGGACACAATTACAGAAAAAATGTAAATCTGAACATAAGATGGACAGGACTAGACTGAGTATTCTTTTGGATGTTGAGCTGGACACATTGATGCAGGTACCTTTGATGTGAGCAGGGCTGAACACCTTAGAAGCACACAGCACTTTTCCGGAGCCCGGCTCCCACTGGCCCACTGTAACTCGGCAGCACTGAGGGGAAGGACTGCTTTGCCCAGCTTGTGCCGCACACTGTGGGTACTGTTTGCCTCCACTGGCCTGGCCCGTGTCCCTCAGGATGCTGGCTCTCTCTGTCTCTGTGTGTCCGTGGGCTGCGGAGGGGTGGTAGAGCTCTGAGACTTACCCTCTGCTGCTTGGCACCCAAAGTCTCATCTACAGCAGGGATCATGACACCTGGGACAGAGTCATGCAGGTTCTTGGACTGTCCAGATAGTATGCATGGAAGGGCAGGGTTGTCTGATTTTATGTGTAATGATTATACATGAACTTGCTTCCTCAGCCATTCATTTTGTTAAGCTCAATTCTGGGAGGGCTGGGGCTGAAAATGCATTCCTAAATTGAAAGATGTAGTGTGTTCTTTAGAGAAAAGATACACAGCAAAATCTCTCTCTTCCTAACATTTAAAAGACACAATTCAAAGCCAAAAATATGCTCTGAAGTTAGTAAAATACAGAATTCAAGTTCAATTAATTCAATACCTATTTTCCTTAATCCTCCAAAGTTTTAAATTTTGTTAAGTTTTCATTTTTACCATATACATGGTAATAGTGCAAACACATGGCCTTAGCATAAAGCAATATAGAAATGTCAGGTTAGCAACAAGAAATACTTGCTGACTAATCTCTGAAATGTCCAACATCTCTTGAATTTTAGTTTATTTAGAAAGTAATTCAGATACTGTCTTAAAGGATCACATCACAAGTGATGAGCAGATGGCCCAAACCAGACACTGCGCTTAGAGAATATTAAGATGTAGAGGCACAGCAGAGGATAACCGAAATGATGAAATGCCTCTCCCATTAACCAGGAACCATTAGCAGAATCACTAATCCCTGCAGAAGCAAGATGAAGCCCAACAGTCTCGAAGATGGTATTTTTTATGGATCAGATTCTGCGTCAGTCACTCCATAAGAAGCAACTGATCACTTACAATCATGCTTCCTTGAAGAAGCTGAGTGACAGGGATCACCTGGCTGATGGAATGATCTACAGACTGAGGCCACTGTGCCCAAAAAGTTGCAGAAGAGAACTTTAGTGGCCAAAGGAAGACAAAGTGCAGGAAAATAGGCATCAACACTATTTTATTTCACTTAAAGGTATCATTTCAAATAAAGACTCCTTCCATGCGACTGAACTCACGGCAAGTGGCAAAGCTGTTGGAAGGTCTGGAAAACTGGCAGCGCCCCGTCTGTCTTGCTGCGGTGGGGGCACAAGTCCCCTTTCACCACATGACGTGCAGACAGCGTCCTGCATTAGTATCTTTCCCACAGTTTTCTGACTGGAAACAACTCTCACCCCCTCCTCCCTATTCCCTCCAGGTCAGGTTTGTGGGACTTAAAATTCAGATCCTTTGGCTTCTTCAGTTGAAGACTGATTTGATCAAACAAATATTTAGCATCCTAAACAATGAGCTAGTTCCTCTGGAAACATTTCATTGCATCCCACACAATGAGTGCCTGGATCCCAGCCAGTCCTGGTCCAGCTTTCCAGAGACTCCTCCTCTTCTCTTGACCCACTGAAGGCCACTTAGCTCAGGACATTTGTGTCCTGTCAGAGAGAAAGTTGAAGTCACCTGCTCCCTGCGGAAGCTGCAAAACCTGGCCCTCTCTCCAGCCACATCTCCCGTCTGTATGAGCTCGAGAAGGCCACTAAACCTCACAGGAATTGAACTACATGGCATCTGAAGTTCCTTCTAGCTGGAACTGCAAAGCACTAAAAAAATAAAGAATTCACTCATTATTGGGCTGTTGCAAGGCTCTAAGTGAGGGCAAAGAAGGAGCAGAGGAAAGGAAACTGAGTTAGGAAGTAACTCCTGAAGTCTGAATCTATTACATTTCATCGGTCAGTCAGCTGGTGAGTAGCCTTTCGCTTCTCCTGTGTTTCAGCTACTACAACAAGAGCACTGTGAATGCTCCTAACACAGATATTTATCCTCAGATCTTTTGATAAGCCATTGCTCTTCTGATTCTCAGGGCCCCCAGGTACTTCAGTTCTCTGTCACCCTCTGTTCCAACCACCTCCTGACTTCCCTGAGCCAGAACCAAGCAGCTGAGCCTCCGAGTTTCAAGGTGATCTCTTGTAGCAACAGTAATCAAAACAGCTCCGAGTCCCAAGTTTCAGCCAGAGCAGAAGTGCGTTCATGTGTTTGATATATGCGGTTTTTCTCATTGTGATTCCACCACTAAAACTGAAAAGGTCGAAAGCCACCTTTAAGAATGTGAGGAGGTGATTTCAGCCTGGTCACCACCCACTGGAAGGATGGTATGATGAGGACAGAATCTAACTCCAGGCTTAACTAGTATCGAATATTTATTTTTAGGTAAAGAGACAGTTACTCATAATACATAGTAAAGTTTCTAATGAATAGTAATTCAAAAGGGAAGGATCTAAAACCTGGAAACACCTAAATTTACTAATTGCTGCCAATTTCTATCTTAATACCTTTTGAGAAAGGAAAGAGAGGATTTGAGGAAGGCAGGATGCAATCCCTCCAGATAACACTCATGAAACACAGCTTTATCAGAAGGCTTCATTAGGACAAACTAGCCCCATCCAAAAGGGACTCTCTGCTCTGCTCACAAGTGGGTATGGTCAGGTGGGTCAGGGGTCACTAAGCTTGGTTCTGGCTCCAGTTTTTTGGGACAGATATTTGAAGATAAAGTACACCCAGAAGAGCAAGACCTAAAAGTGATTGGCCTGAAAGTCAAGAGATAAAAGTTTAAGAATAGGTTAAAGAATCAGGATACTGATAGTGAAGAAGTAAGTCTGAGAAAGGATGTAATTATTGTTTCTAAATATGGTAATATAGAACAATCTATTGAACTCCTGCTGATGGAGCTTATCTGATGCCTCCTCTAAACAGCTTATTTCTGTCTTACAGATGAAGAAACTAAGGCCTAAGTTTACAGAGCGTGTTTGTGTCAGAGTTAGGATTCAAACCCAGGGGATCATACTCTGAGTCCTGCTTTTAACTGTACAAAGGACTGGCATGTAAAATTAGACACGCTAAGCATTGTTCCAGAGGGCAGAACCAAAACTGAGGATGCAAGTCACAGCAATGCCAATGCCAGCCAGGGCTCCAAAAAGAGAGTTTTCTAGCCAGTAGGTACATCAAACGACTGACAGTTACAAGGTACCGGGTTTCCTACTGTAGAAAATGCACAAGAAGAAGCTGCACAAGCGCTGTTGATGAAGTTTCAGCCCTGATGGAGAGACCAAACTAGAGGATTTCTAAGAGAAGTCTTTGAACCCCA